CAAGACAAGTGCAGTTTGTTTTCAGACCTAATCAACTGTGAAATGTTTTCGGTTCTAGGCTCAGCCGGTCGCCATCAGGAAATTGAAAGTCAACATGTAAATAGCAGGTACACAGATTTGATCAGACTCTGCTTCCAGCAAAAGTGGATAGCTTCGTTGGGCGCAGTCTCCACTGTGCTCTGCACCCCCTGCTTGAAAAAACTCATGATCTTAATTCTTAACTGCGTGATAGCTACCGGATTGCACACACGCACACGCACACGCACACGCACACACACACACAGACACACATACACACACACACACCCGCGCGCGCGCGAGCACATCCATACATTCGTAGCATCATACATGCATACAGGCATACACATAGTACATTCACATATCCATCCACCAAGCCATTCATCCATGCATCCATCCATCCGTCCATACATACATACATACATACATGCTTATCTATCTAGGTAGCTACAGGTTTACAATTGTTTACAGATATTGATGAACCAACCATTTGCTTTCATGTATGGAAGTACAAATGTATATACCATATACCTGTGTAATGTATATGCACAGTTGGGTTTTACCATTTGTTTCTGGTGGGCCCACTCCTTGTACGGCTAACAATTGGGAAAAATACATTCTAGTTACATAAGTTGAGGCTTCAAAATGGTTAATTATCTTGCCATTGCACAATTACCCGCCTTTTTCCACGCATAACAAACGAGGAATCTATTTATATTTGGACTTGGGGGTGCAGTCGTTTTTTGTGTTTATGGGCATAACCAATCATGGTAATAACTTTCAAACATTGGGATATGGGGTCCCGATAGCTATGGTTGCATATATATATATCTCATGTTACAGCCCCAGGAGTATGGTTTATAATTTCATGGACTTATGGGACCGGGTTATCCCATTATTTGTTTCTTTGCTTGGAACTTGTGGAGAGCAAGTAAAATGTGTTGTCGGTATAGTTGCCAAAATGGCCATGCCATTTTGGCTCAAGTCCTCCCCTTGCGATCAAGCATCTCGAAGAAATTCCGACTTCCTTTTCTTGCCCATGGCTGCGTTGAGCCCAGTGGCAAGCGAACCGGGAACTTTGCAATGGCGTCTGTCTCAGTCATCGACAGGGAGACAAATGATGGGGAGGACTATTTGCTGATTGACATGCCTGAAGCTGAGGCTGCGCCGGCCGAGGCTCCTCCTCTTGGCCGCACTAGGCTGTCCACTGAGCTGGCACAAAACTGTGCTGCCTGAGGTAAATATTTGTTTGGGCTTCCAGGTCAACCCATGTGGACCCGTGGTTGGACAAGAAGACCACCCTTGGAGAGCTCCTTCACAAGATCTCCTCAGGTGCTTCCTTCACTGCGAAGGAACTTGAACGGGCCCTTGGACGGCTAAACTGGGCAACAGCAGCGTGGCCACTCAGCCGTCCCTTTCTCCAACCGTTCTGGGCTTGGAAGGCAGCTACTACGTCATCAGGCAGACCCAGCAAACTCATCCGGTCTTTTGCTCTGCTCCTACTCCAGCTTCTACATCATCCTCAAGTGCAACCCTGCCCATATGACCCCCCTCAAATTGGTGGGGAGCAAGTGACGCCAGTGCACATCCCGTGGATGGTGCCTACATCGGAGGCTGGATTGCTGATCGAGAAAACCCCTCCAAGGAGCACACTTGGTGGTTCCATTACAAGGTACCACTAGAAGAACACCATTGGGCCCATAAGGATGGAGACCCAACCAGGAGGATCGCGGCGCTGGAAATGTTTGGCACTTTGATCCTCACCAATTTCTTTCTCATCCTCGGCGGCAAGTCTCTACTTCGTACCGACTTAGTTTGATTTCGGACAATCAAGGCAACATTTATGCCCTGCTGAACCAGAAGACGAAGCACATTGCACATGCAAACTTCGGCCTTCTTAATGCAGCTCATTGTCATGATCCACTCTGCGGGGGTCCAGCTCGCACCTTCGCACATGAAGAGGGACTACAACAGATGGGCGGATGAGCTCACCCATCCCAACTTCGAGGGCTTTCGGCCTGACCGCCAACTCACAGTGAGCGAGGCTTTCTCCGATTTTAAATTTCTTTGGGCCCTGCTGGATGACCAGTCTATGGGCCCTCAATCCTCTGGGAACAATTCCAAACGTTATAAGACCGAGCACAAAGCCACCTAAGGTCCACTGGAGCCTGGTGGCTGCGGCTGACTTTCTTTCTCAGTGGTGTTTTACACACCTAAACCCGTTTTTGGACACCTTCTTGAGCGAGCTGATAGCTCTGGCGGGTTGGGTGGATAGGATGTGTGACACCACCACTGTTTTTTGGGGGTTATGTTGAAACCCAAAGTGTGAGATATGATGCGTTTGGCATCTGACATAAACCCAGCCGCACATGCCAACAGCATAGCAAAAGTGTGGACATGCTGCTGCTGTTGCTTGTGCCCGTTTGACATTTTCAATTCTATTCGGGAACACTATCCCATGAATGCCATTTGTTTTTTTATCACCCAAATGTTTGCGTTTTACCAGATATTCCCTTCAAACAAATACTCAACTGGAATTTGTTTTCTTAGGTTCGATTTGTTCAAAGTGAATGGCACGTTAAGAGCAACTATGGAGAATACTTCGAGAACTGAGCAGGACTACTTCTACACGCAGACAATTGTGGTGGGGATACTTAATACTTCATACATGTTGTGTGTGTGTCGTAAACATTTCCATGTCCTTCAGTGCTTCAGTCCTTCGCCCGCTGAGGAAGAGCATGGGGAAGAAAATGGATAAATTCTTGACCCGAACAACCCGAACTGAACAAGAAACTGACGCACAACAAGCTTGGAAAATGAAGAATCTTGGAATATCTTAGATATTTTGCAGGATGTCGATGTCAAAGAGGATTTTCATCGGGGCATCGCACGCAGTGGGTATAATGACGAACCTAATACGTTTGTATGCACAGAGTGTATATGCAGATGTTGTATGTAGTTGTTTGTTGTATGTAGTTTGCAGGATCCTTGGCTATAACAATACGATTTGTATGGTGTACAGTACACTTATGTTACAACAATAAATGCAAACGCATGTGTAAGATACACCTCTCTCTATATATCTATATATGTATATATATACAATATATATATATATATATACTCACGTGCATGTGTACAATCCCGGTGGAATATGTATACATGTGTATTTACAGTAGATGTAGACATGCGTCTATTCATATGTTTATAACTAATGACTGTATGACGACAACTGCCACCTAGATTTGAAACCAAAAACAAATCTGGCATCAGGCAATTTCTACTCCTATTATATAGTCATTGTGAGGTCTGGTGTATAAATGTATATATGTATATATATATACAATTATTTACATATATACTCATATAAGCCTGCTTTACATGTGTGAGAGAATTTGCAAAGAACATAACATATTCGTTAAATAACCATATCACTACATTGGTGGTGATGACAGTGACATGTTGCATGCTGAACATGTTCCTTTATATTTGGATATATTTGGTGTGATTAATCCGAAGGATATCCGAAGGGTATAGCATCCAATGGTGAATGTGTTGTAAAAGGGGATCCTGAAATTCAGAACCCCCACGGTTGAGGCGCTTTAGTTCACCCAGATTTGTCTTGACAGGTCACGACTCTTTGCAAATGATATATACATCTTAGACCGCTTTGATTGCACGATAATTGACATGTTTATATTAAAGTTTATATGGACTTATTTTACATGTGCGCTTGAGTATCATATATCATATATGCATGTAATCATGTATAAGAAGGCAAAATGTTGCAGTTCTTCCATGTATTAAGTATCGTGTAGGGTTCATATGTGACTTGAACAGGCCCGCACGCATGTTTGGTGCATGCTGGCCATACAGGGGGAAGTAAAGAGTCGATTGTTGATTTCCCTAACTGTAAATGGAGAGCCAAGGAATCCGAAATTAACCATCGGCTGATCAATGGGTAGCGAGCCATGTTTTGATTTTGGCACAAAGTTTAGTGGATTCTTGTCCATATCACAAGTCAATTTTTGGGTCACCATTATCGCAAGAAATACACAATTTCAAAGCACCTCCATCCAATTTGGTAAGTTGGAGGCACATCCCAATTGGGTCTGATTTTTTCCACTTAGGGTGCAGACATGGATGGACTACATCGCGGGTTTCCTCGTGCCACGGCTGATAGTTACCCCATAGTTTCATATCTGGTTGGTGGTTAGGAGCATTTTTTATTTTCCATAATATATGGGATAATCCTTCCCATTGACTTTCATATTTTTCAAGATGGTTAAAACCACCAACCAGATATCCAGTCTTTTTCCACATTCTCCCAGCATTCTGGGGTGTTGCCGTAGTGGCTTGATGCAGATTCTTCTGTCAACCAATAACAACCAATGGTAGAGAGCCCGCAGCCAGTTCAACTGTTGGAAGCATATAATTGTAATACATATAAGATATGTATCTATAAATACACAGGATATATATATATATACATACACATAAAGTTGGTTCGCAACTAAGCTATACGGGATGCATGATGAATACTTCAGGCAATCATATGCCATTCTGGAAACATCTGAAATTCATCACTGGGCGGCCCCCTTGCGCTTGTGACTTGTGAATATTCTGGCATCTTGTGAGCTACCTGTTGGCCAACTGTGTTGAGGATGTTTGTGTTGTAGATCATGTTTTCAAAATCATAAAGATGACTTGCCTAGAGATGGTTTGATTTCATCCATTATATAAGGAGTTTAGTATTGACAGGGGCCCAACAGATCTTTGATGCGAAGCCATTTCCCTGCGGTAATTTCACAAATTGGCTACAGTATACTGAGCATACTGTAGAAGCAAATAGAAGCCATGGCCTATTCAGTCAGTTCGATCATCAATCCGTATCACATCACCTTGTTTTCATGGGTGGTATATGGTGGTACATGGTGGTAGAATTCACTAATGATAACTAATGTGCAATAGCTATGGCAGCTATGGCAGCTATGGCAGCTATGGCCTCAGGTGATGTTCAACTCACTGGTGATGATGATGGCCCCACGGCGGAGTGTCCCTGTGGGTTGGGCCAACGGGATGGCCCCTTTTCACAGGTCCCATGGTGGCTTTGACCCTGAAGTTCGACAGGATATCCATGTTTTATTTATATATATATATATATATATATAATGTTATATTATGTTCATTTATAAGATGGTTTATCAGTTGGTCAATGTTTATTTAAATATGAATATATGTTGCGTGAGGTAGAGAGTCGAAGTCCCCTGAAATGTGTGTGTTTCGATCATGGTTTTACTGGCGATGTTCTCGATGATCTCGCCGAGCCGAGGAATTGGAATTTGAGGGGCGAGCTGCTGGCGTTTTAGTGACTCGGAGGAAAGCTGGAGTTCCCACAGTCTCCCATTGGGAAACAGAGGGATTTGCATTGGATTTGGAGTGGCTGACCAGCAACAGCGCCGGGTGAAGTTGAAGATGTGTTTGTATAATTCTTATCTAATATTTTCGGCGATATATGTTGAGTATTTTCGATGGCTGCTCCATGCTGTTCCACTGTGGTCGCACTCTCAGCATGTGACCTTTCTTTGCCCCTTCAGCTGCGGCGAAAGGTGCCCAAAAGAACATACTAGACTGAAATCGCAATGTTGATTGGTTACCCTATACATTATCAGGATAGATACAGTATCTCAATCTTATCCCAATGTTGATTGGTTACCCATTATAATCATCTATAATCAATGGCCCAGATATCGAGATTTTAAACTCCTCAGACCAGGTGGGACACAGCAGCAACCTCGACATCCATACATTAGAGGAGCAATGTGGATGGATCTGGTGCTAGTGGTGCTTGGATGTCTGATGTGTGCGAAATGAGAAGGTACTCCTATGTATAGAATAATAAATATATATATATATGTGTGTGTGTGTAGCTTACAACCCAGATATGTCAGGATACTGCTTACGATCCAGAGGGTTTCCTCCGGAGAATAGTCATAATATACAATGACAATCTAACGCAAATTGCGGTCAGTTGCAAGGCACCTTGGCCCCCATGGCCATAACCTTGCGATACGGTGTACGTTTGCACTCTGGATGACAATGGGACTATTATATGATTAGTAATGGCTTTGTCTCAAATGGAAGATACCGCACAATTGCATTCCAAATATGCAGAACATGATGATCAACCATGGGACTTTTAGGTGCCTTATTTTAAGACAAATGACTTTCCAGTGTTCCCGCGAACTGGGACCCTCCGTTTGTACACATATAAACGGCTAAGGATGGCCCAAGTCATAATGGGTATACTATGGTATACTACCTCCAAAATGATTTGTTACTACCCCAGTATACCCCAGTCATTCAAGATACTTGGAGGGTCTAGGGTCAGATCTTGGTAAACTTGACCCTCGAGCCATCACTGAAGCTGCACAACTGACCCACTTGGGGGGTGCAGCTCTATGCCAGTACGATAAGTATGGCATATGATCAGAATTGTATGGGTTAAGTCTTAAGTTATGGTGTTGCTACCCATGAGCATCGAGGTTTTTCATTTATATGATAAACAACAAAACAAAACATGTGGAGATGATAAAATTCATGACCAAATTAGGTCTAACGTATGATCTTGCAAGTGCTATATCCATTGAAAGTGCCCCCCCCAGTTCGTTAGCCAAGTGCGTTTATTTCAGTAGTTAAATAATTTGATCCATGGTAAACTTAACATGATACAACAAACTACTGCATTTGATGGGTCTTGTAAACCTACAAACATCACTAGGGGCCCCAGGACAAAAAAATGATTCGAACCTCTATATATAAGTGGTTATTTCATATCCCAACTTGTAATAATTGGTGTATAAACACCACTCAGTGGTCTATGATATATATTTTTCTCTACAATGAACCTTGGTCATAGCAGTGAAAAACAAATTGTAAAAATGGCCACAAGTGCACTCCCGTTTGGGACTCGAACAGGACCTGTTCTTAAGCTTGGACCGCGTCTTTGCCCTTTGGCTGATGGGGCAGGGATCGAGAAATAGATAGATTGTCATGTATATGTCTACATATGCAAATTACATTGATACATGTGTACACATATGATATATGTATGTATATATTATTTATGGATACATTGTACAGTATATGTATTGTACATGTATGTGTTTTTTCTATTTGATATGCATGTTTAGACTTGTTTGGATCCAGCCACTCCTCGAAATGACCCACCTGCAGAGGTAGCAAAAGAACCTTAATGTCACCATTCACAGCATTTCACAGCGCTTACAATGGGATAACTTATGCGTTTGTTTAATTTATGTGTTTTGACGTATAGTTGTCTCCTAGATTCAAAAAAAAAAACGGATTCCGGGATGTGTTTTTCCATGATTTTCCCTGACATGATTGGGGACCGCTTTCAAAACCAAGGCTTTGCGTTTGTGCAGTGATGGACATATTGGGGCCACCCATATACTGTTACCATGTTACTTAGACCCTCCAAAAAAAAAATGGAAATGAGAAAATGATGGTATTCCCAAAACAAATTGGTATTGCTACCTTGGTACTTGGAGGATCAAACTTCAGTATCCTTATTTTCGTTTGAAAGCCCGTGTGTTAAACAGCTTAGGTTTCATGCCTTCTTGTTTATTATTCCACGCCCCTTGTTTGGGTGGGGGTTTCCCATCGCAGCACCAGTCATTTCCAGCGCACATATTTTAGGTTTTCCTCTTCTTCGCGGAGTGGTCTGTTCGATTGCCCCGTGGCGAATTTGGTACTGCCAGGGGTCCAGGGAACGTCTAAAAGTCCACTGGTTAGTCATTCTCTACTACAATGGCTATTGTGAGCAAAACAACACACCCATAAACTGAACATCAGCGGCCGAGGCATGAACAAAACTAGGGACATCAAATCGCCCTGATCTCGGATGTTGGGTGAATCAAGAGTGTTTTTTTCATGATGTTTCTTCTTTACAAGGCAGCAAACAGTAAGTACAATTGTGGAATTGGTGGGAAGAGAAGTAACAGGGCATGGAACCAATCTAAGGGGATGATCATGTGTTGAGGTAGCCGAATGATTCCGCAGGAATTTACATGTGCTCCGCCAAAGCATGCTCTAGTGTATGCAAAGAAGAAAGTTGAATGAAAAGACTTCAAGTATCCAATCAGTCACTTGTTCTTTTTGGAGCCAAATTCGGAATTAACAGTTGGTGAGAGAGGCAAGTAGGAAGCATCCTGGTACCTGCCATCGATGCCATGTTGAGATGGGGCAGATAGGATTGGACCCATAGGGCACTACAGTTCCATCAATGGTCAGCTGCTCGAAATTCTTGAGATGACCCTGGTTTTCTAATGTGGGTTCACCCTTTGGCATGTGGGTCTCTATTACCGTGTTTCGTTGGTGTACAATTGCCATAGTTTGTCTGTGGTAATTTGTAATTGTGACTATATGTGACTATAACTCAGTTGTTGTTTAGCATGCGGGTTCACTTTGTTTCTCCACCTTTTATGATGGATTGCACCTGAATTTGCGAGCATGTGTCTGTGTGTGGGATATGCGACGCAAGCACAAACATTAAAAAAAAAGTGTCATCCTCCAAGACAACGTGGGAGTATGGAAAACACATGGTAAGGTGATGCTAGATTAAAGGTGCTAATTAGTAGAATGAACAAGTGACAATTGGTTCCAATTGAGCCACAAGAATGGGTTCTTTCGTGGGGCTGTGCTTTTTTAGGGAACTGATTTTTTACACTCGCCTATGCCAGTCGCCCAGCTATGCAGCAGGTCAAGGGTTAATCATGATTTTATCCCCAGTACTCTGGTACGCCCAGAATGAAACCCACTTTGGGCGTGGTTCAAAAAAACAACTTCTGTACAGTAGGAGGAATTCCGCGGGTCTAGCATATTAGCACCGTACCTTCACCAGTGATGTGGAGCCAGGTACGTCGAGAAGAAGAGTTGCTCGCCAGGGGAACCAATTTGTTTGACATGTTTGCCCCATGAAAATGCCGAGGATTAAAAAAGATGTTCTTGCACATGAAGCTGACCATGTTTGAGGTCTCATATTGAAGATGATGTGTTGGATACCCCATTTCTTTCATCCAGCCGCTTGTGATCCATTGTTGGTTTTTCTGCTTCATCACTGCCCTTCTGTTCCCGGAATCCGGTGATTTTCACCATGGTGTCCTGTTTGCTTATAATGTTTACTGAATTGTTCACCATGTACCGGGGTCATCCTTTGTGTCATTGAATAAATAAATAAATAAATAAATAAATGAATAAGTACAATACGTACATATATTATATATACTATCATCAAATCGTCCATTCATTCATGTGATGAATGGTCCAGAAGACATATTGAATAGTCCAATTGAATCCATTCCGTCGAAACGAGATGGTCATCCAATCTCATTACCCTAGTGGGGTCGTCCGAAAATAGGTTACCCCATTCCATCTACTGGTGAATTATGACGTTCCTGCTGTAAATTCAGGGGTTCATCCCCCAGTCCTTACTGGTGCTTAGTAGGGAAATGGGGAATGGGATGTTAATAGTTCTTGTGGATCATTCCTCATTCCCTACTAAGAAAACTAGTAAGCTAAGCAAGATTCTCAGTGTCTTTTCAGGTTTTTTCCTTGACGTGGCCAACCTTTTCGACACCTTCTTAGTGTTCGCTGGCCTGGTGGATTTCATCATCACCATCGTGGCCATCCAGGGAGAAGCAGGCGCCCTTGTGGCGCAGTGGCCATGGGGCCATGGGCCCCAAGGCCATGGGTTCTTAAAATGGGGTATCCCCAAGTCACCATGTGTTTCAATACTCAAATGGTCAACATTTTTTTGGATGATGAAAATGGGGTATCATCATGTTACGGAATTTCCAAATGGAGTCCTAAAATCCTAAACATGTGTAAATCCTCGCTAAACCATGGTCTCTTGGGGGGGTGTCTGATATGAATGGGGTGAAGGATTATATACATAGGAATGGTGTCTCATTAAAGATTTGGGGTATACCTTGGTATACCCTGAACATTTAGTATACCCCCAAAACAGCACTGTCAGTTTAATCCATTGGATATTGGAGTACCCTTTCTTTTGACAAAGCCACGACTGGTGGAATGGTTTAGGTGTTTTTGAGGAACCTCTAGTATCCTTTAGTAATTTCATCCCGTGTCCAATATGTTCTCTGCGTTTCTTTTGGGGGGGGGCAGAAGCCTCAAATATTTGAGGCTTGGTATCTATTCAAGATAGTACCGTACATGTACATCTTGATCGTTCTGGGTTATTCTGGATCATGGAAGCATGTCACCACTGAGAATGGCCCAGGGAATCAGACAATGCTGGTGGATTCACCGTTTGGTTCGTAACTTCAAACATTGTTTGACTTTCCATCTTTGAATATGCAGAGTCAATGAAGAAGTATCATGGGATTCCATGAAAATGTTAACCAAACATTGTTTTGCCATTTTTTAAGGAAGGATAAACAAAATAGGAGCAGCCGGTTTTCATATGTTTAAATTATGTTTGGTTGCGCAGGTGGAAACAAAATTGGATGGCTGATGGGCTGATGGCCCGGTTTTCTTTTGCCTTGAAAATCAAGTGGGAACAATGGTTGGTTCATGTTGGTTCCAAACATGGGTTTTTTGATCATCCTTACCATGCAACGATTGCATGGCGTCCTTTGGTCCAATGGGGTGTCCTTTGATCCCATCCGTCAACTGACAGGTGCCTCACGGAGCATTGTCGTGCTGCGACTGATGCTCGCTTCGTAGATGAAGTAAACCCAGTGGCTGCACCAGAGTTAGCACAGTTGGTGCATGGTCAATCGGGCTTTGTATGGCTTTATGGTGATAACTTATCATTTAGACGAGGGGACACCTCTTTAAGTAGGGATTGTATACCGATTAAACAAAAGGAGGGGGAAGATAAAGAGGACTTTGCGATTGGTTGGATTTTTGTTTCTTTGAGAGCCCATGGTGAATTTGTTTTGTTGCCGCGTTGTGATATGTCGGGAAGTCTGCATCTTTTCGAATCGGTTTGATCATCATTGGTATCATCTACACAAGAACTATTGCCATCCACCCACGCACAAACTCTGAGAATAGTTTTAAAAGAGGCGGTTGAAACTGATCATGTTGCCTTGGGAGTCTGTTGGACACCAAAGTTTTTAAATGTTGTCGTCCAGGTCCAGAGGAAAACAACTGCAACGGGAAAGCAGGTTGACCCTTGAAACTGGGGAGGTGAGACGGCGATTCCTGTTGCTTTTCTCTTGAAGCTGTAATTCACTGATTCTTTGATATCCGCTTATCCAGCTTCGATTTTTCTTGCTATACCATGGGTAGTTCCAGAATATGGTTGGATCCATGACTAGTACCGGAATGTGTTTGTTTCCTCTTATTTGCGGGTTAGTTCAGGGTATATACCGCAGGTAGAAACGCCGTGCGCCTTAGCGATAGAAACGTCATCCCAGGACCTTTCAGGTGAGTTGAAAGGGATTGCCAGCTCACGGCTGAGTCCATAATTCCCGGCAAACTTGTTACAAAGAAAATATGTTATTGATCTATATTGACTATAATTATATACAATATCAACCAACAGTTTTGTTCCCCAAACTTCTTACGGCAAGGGTTAAGGCCGGTGATTGATCGAGGCGCTCACTCTGGCCCCGGCTTTTTCCCTGTAAATTTTCGCATAAAATAGCTCTTGTCACATGTCCATGTGCATTTCGACTGCGCAGGCTCGCACAAAACGTGCGGCACGGCGTTTTCCCTGTAAATTTCCGAATAACATGGCTCTTGTGAGATGTCCTTGTGAATTTTGACGGCGCCGGCTCGCACAAAACGTGCGGGGCGTTCCTGGGACGCAGCGTTTTCCCTGCAAATTTAATTTCCGCATAAAATGGCTCTTGTCACATGCCCAAGTGCATTGCGATTGCGCGTTCCTGGGGCACGACTTTTTCCCCAAAAAATGGCTCATAGCGAGATGTCCATGTGCATTTCGACTGCACAGGCTGGCACAAAACGTGCAGCGCCTGTCTGGGGCGCGGCATTTTTGCTGTAAATTCTTGCATAACATGGTTCTTGTGACATGCATGTCCATGTGCATTTCGAAGGCTCGCGCAGAAACGGCGCAGACTCACACAGCCCGCAGGTCGCGGTCTTGGGATCGATCCTCCTCCTCCTCCTCCTCCTCCATATCATCCTCAACATCATCATCCTCCGCCGTATAGTCCCCAACATTTCTTTTCTTTTCATCATCCTCAACATCACCATCCTCAACATCATCATCTTCCTCCTCAACATCATCATCCTGCACCTCATCATCCTCAATATCATCATCCTCAACATCATCGTCCGCAACGTTATCATCCTCCGCATCATTTTCATCATCACGATCATCATCATCATCATCATCATCATCATCATCATCATCATCACGATCATCACGATCATCATCATCATCATCATCATCGTCATCATCATCATCATCATTATCCTCAACGTATGTCATACAGTATCCTCACACACACACAGACTGTTTGGGGTCTCTTACGGGCGCAATGTTTTGTACTTTTTCCCAATTGTACATAATACCTTCCAGTGTCTTCGTCCATAAGCCATCGAATCATCAAAGGTGGTGACATGTGGTGAATCCCCGCAAAACCCTTAAAGGGGCCTTCCCAGCTCAGGATGCGTGCTCTGAAGTCACTCCGTGCTATCCGCATGGTCCGCAGCTTGCGTTTCTTTCAGGCGATAAGAATTTTCGGAGAACACTGGAGAACCGGAGATTTGGTACTTTTGCACATCCTTTTGGTACTTTGAGGGTCTAGATGTGGACAATGAGGCTGGTGAATTGCCGGACTCCTTTATACTTTTATTTAGTGCTACACCAGAGGTGTTTGGGCTTGAAGGAAGCAGCACAAGAAATATTCGTCGATTTTAGATTTACGTAGAGGTATTACATGATTAGGTATGCACCTGCTTGACTCACCAAGTCGCAGCTGGCAGGGGTTGCGGGTGTTGGTCAAAGCTTGCCAGTGCTTCCTGATGCTTGGCATATTGAAGCCGGCATTGACAGATCCTTTTCTGGGCCAACTGGAATTGAACTGAAGGAGGGGAAGGAACCCCACAATTTCACGAGTATACGGTTTCAGTATTAGGTAGATGAAAAGGTGTCTCAGTATAATTCCTTAGCCTCCCCAGCCTCCCCATCGCTCTAAGAAACGGATAAAAAGCACAAACAAAATCAGATGAACTTGTTTAGAGTACTTATATCTATATATAATATATATAATATATATATATATATATATATTGTTTATTTTTACAATTAGAGAATAATGTGTTGCATGAATTTGTTTGTTGCGAACTGCCCCATCGGTTTTTCTTAATGTTTCAGTCTAGCTGAGTCTAGCTTGGTGACACCCTTTGTTTGGGCTGAACCTTGGTACGTCAGGGGCCCCCAAACGATAGCTCAGTTGATTTATAACATTTTTGCAACTCCAATAATAATTGTGCTCTACCTTACTTTTAATAACCATACTATAGTATTCATGCAATTTTCAAAAGTGGTCCGAGCATGTGGTGCTTTGTACATTTTGACTTCGAAATGTGCTTCGCGCCACAACGGCGTGCACTTTTTCGACATCTCAACTTCCAAAAGTGACCCGAATGTGAGGTGTGTTTTTTTTCACTTGCAAATGTGCTTCGCGCCACAACGGCGTGCAGTTGTTCATCTCTCATTTGGCCAGCTGGCTCCGCACCCGCCGCTTTTGCTGCTGAGCGCGCTGCCCAGCCTCTTGCGGTCACTGCGGAGAACTTCGCAAGAAACTTGGCATCCCAGTCTCTGACCTGGGTTGACCAGCCGTATGAACTCCTGTTCCTGTGGTTTTCCGGTCTCCTCTGTTTCGGTTTGAGTTGGTGTTCCTACTTTGTGGACTTCCTGCTCATCATGTCTATCCTTTTGTCTCTGCCCTGGTCCCATCCTTGTCCTTGGTTCCTCTCTGAACCTTACGTCGCCTTGTGCTGGCTGGGATGGTGGTACCTGTCTGGCTTTCCTACAGTGCGGGTGGAGCAAGCATGTGAAAGTGAAACGTGCTAAACTCAAACACAAACGTTTTGGTTGTTTTTTGGACAAACGAAACGGCCGGGACCCAAGAGTTTCAGCATGGTCATGTCGTAGGTGCAGCAGTCACCGTTTGAAAAAGGCACGTTTGAAGTGCCGACTGAGAAAATGGAAAAAATGCTGCTATTTTCGTAAATGCAAATTTGGATGCAGACCTGTTCAGAAACAACCAGCGACTGCAAAGCTGGGTTTGTTGCGGAAATCCATGTGTACTGAACATAAACATGAATGTGCGTCTACAAAGAAGAAGGACGCTTGGAGCCAATATATGAGGTACTTGTGCTCCCTCGACTTGCAGGGAGGGGCAAAAGGCAGTACACACACTGCTGAAATCACTTCTAGCCCATCGGGTGGCTTAGCTTCTTCACTTGAGAGGTTTTTGCAGTCATGGATGGCCCAACAACAGGGTCATGCGCAGGAGGAGATCTCTGATGTTTCAAAACCTGCTTCCAGAAGAGGGCAAAAGGGGAAAGGAAAAGACACCATCAAGGGATCCAGTTTTGGGGGCCCCAAAGGTATCGGTAAAGGAAGTTCTAAAGGCACAAAGAGGCCTTCCGCTGAGCTGTCAACGGCAGCGGGCAAAAAACCACGTGTGGTCCTGACCTCAGCCGCCAAACAGCACCCGTTTTCTCACAAAGACCCTGACAGTTCCGAACTCAATTTAGCCAGACAATTGATCAATTTGCTCAAAACTTGTTTGAATCATGGAAACACTGATGATGAAGTGGCTGCCGCGATCATGCAACATCTGACAAAGGTCAAACAGCCAGCCACTCACAAACCTGTTCAGGAGACGAGGACCAATGGAAAAGGCAAAGGAGTCAAAACTCCCCTTGAAGTTAGACACTCACATGTCACCGGATTCAGAAATTCTGAATGGTCCTGCATACCTCACATCACTCAATTGAAAGCTTTTTGGAAAATCATTTTCGAAACGGAGCTTTTTCTTCCTTCAAAATGGTCGAAATTCCCAACATTGAGGACTGTCATTCTTTGATGACCTTGTGGAACGCCTTTTCCAAGCCTGCACCCTTGACTATTTTGCTCACTGGAGCAGCGGTGGAGGTCCAAGGTGCAACCCTGACACAAAAGACACTTTTTCGCGGCAAGGCAGGCGCAAAATTGGAGACCGTGGCAATCTTAGCTCTGGGGGATCAGGCCGCTTGCCCGTGGACTGTGGCAAGACAAGATGTCCCACGAGAGAAAGTTCCAACTATCTCAAAATGCACAATCAGGATTATAGTATTATAGCCCCGGAAGTGTACCGGCAAAGCTTCATTCCTGACAAGGACAGTCCGCTCCAGATCATTAGTGCTGCCGCCCAGTTAGGCGGAGTGCAGGCGTCAAGTTTGAGCGGAGGCCAGTGGATGAAGTCAGTGATGAGACTGCCAATAAGCTGTTTGGTAAAAGTGGTGAACTTGGCTTGTTTTTGTCAAACTCCCCAAAAACGGTTCTTTTGGACCAAGCCCCCCATTGTATTGGGTGCGTAAAGACAAAGAGGAGGATGCCGAATCATATCACAGGAGATGTCTCGGCCTCAAGCACATCCGCGACCAACCCATGGTTTTTCGCAAGGGAGCCGGAAGTGACATTGGTTTTTTCAAACTCCCTGCTGATCAACAGGAGACCCGTAGTGCTGTGGTTGACC